ACATATGTGCCCATGTAAAGCCATGAAATAATAACTATATAAGTATATACATAAATTTCATTATTTACATCCAAACTAATGTCAGCTTCGTTGTTATTATCCTACTATTTCAGACATTATACTCACACTGTTACCACTAAATTTGAGTCTGTACTACTTGGCCTAGGGAGAGAATGCATCCTTACTATGCCTAGTGGATTAAAGTGAATATGGAACATACTGGAATAGTGAAAGATGCCTTCCAAAAGTTAAACAAAGTATTAAGAAAGAGGAAAATCTCATTAGAAACAAAGAACAGAGTACTTAACTCTGATGTAATATCTGTCCCCCTATATGGCAGTGAATGCTGGACAATTTCTTCAAAGATGAAGAAGAGACTTGAGACAACGAAAATGTGCTTCTACAGAAGGATGCCGAGAATACCATGAACTAAACATGATGAAGTTTTAGAAAAAAAAGGAAACAAAAAGGATATTTATACTTAGAATCAGAAAGAGACAACTGAAATTTCTACAGCACATAACAAGGAAAGAGAGCTTGGAGAATTTGTCCCTCACAAGTCATGTTGAATGCAAGAGAGACAGAGGAAAGCAATGCATAACCAACCTAACAAGCTTTTGTAAATGGTTGGCAGAATAGGGATTAGGAGAGATAGCAAAAAGACAAACATTGCTAAGAGTTACTAGAGACAGGAAGTTGTGGAGAACCATGATTGCCCACACCCTGAAGGGAGATAGAAGAAGAAGTGAATTAAAGTGTTGGTTTGTAAATCTGGTGGTTTAGCAAAGAGTTCAATTCCTGGCCTGGTTAGTACTAACTTATAATCAGTAGAAACATAACTAGCAATAACTAAGCAATACTAAAAAGAGACATGGACAGTAAAATGAGAACAGTCAACCTTGTAGATTAAATAAAGGGTCCATTTTGAAATTTCTTGAGTGCTACCTAGATTGACCAACACCTTGTAAAGATACAAAAGGTGGTTGTCTCCCTTTTGTTAAGATAGTCATGAGGGTCAAGAGACAGCAAGGATAGTGACAAAAGGCACTTGTGATGTAGAACCTGTAGAAGAAGGATGTCCCTAGCCCACAGCAGTAGGTCTTACAGGAAAAACCACATGACCTCACTAAGTTTATAGAGAAACCACTCTAACTCCAGTTTTCCCTTTGGTAAATATTACAAGTAAGGTTTCTCATTTTTTACACACTGTTGTTGCATATATGTTATAATTTCTCTGCACGGGACATGTGTATATATAATTTTGTGTATGATGTAGCATTATAAAACTCTCTTTGAAAGCAAAGCATGTTTCTCATTCCTTTTCTATTCAGCTATTCCATCCATGTTATTATGTTGCTGATATAATAATGCCCATAATGGGGAAAATGTAAATGGGAGAATAAACCTTTCTACCAAAGATCTCTCTCATTTTAACCTGAAGAAGGCTAGAGAGCACAACTGCTGAAACAGTATGATGGTAACAACAAAGGTGAAAACATTAGTCTAAATGTAAATAATGATAACTCTATATCTCAAAAACTCGAACAGGAACATAAATTTCATTTTGTAAATACAGGGTGTGATGGATAAATTTTGGTCTAAATTATGCAAAAATGAAAATAACACTGATATATTTACCAAAATTACACAAAAATATCATGAAATACTAACGAGTAAATTTATTCAATAAAATCACCATTAACTTCAACCATGGCCTCCAGACAACTTTGGAATCTCCTGCAATTCTTCTGGACAGTTTCCTTGTTTAAGTTGGTGAATGCTGTGATAATCCTTGCCTTCAGTTCATCTTTGGTGCTATAAGGAGTTTGGTTGGTCTCTCACTCAACTGCACTCCACACATAATAATAAAGAGGATTGCAGTCTGGAGAGTTGGGTGGCTAAATCTAAGGTGGGATGTGGTCACAGAAATTGTCTGACAGCCATAACTGGGTTCTCCTTCTTGTGTGATATGGTGGAGAATCCTGTTGCCAGAGATAGGATCTTCCAGCAGCCACTTTCTTGACCCAGGGTAGCACTACCTCCTCAAGGCACTTGATGTAGGCCTCCATGTTGAATCTGAGGCCCTCACCAAGAAATTTGGGAATTCTTTTCCTATCAGAATGAGTTTTCTGAACTGCCGTACCTTTGTAATCACCATTAAACTCATCAAACTCTTTCTGAATCTTCTGCACTCTCCTCAGATTGACACCCAAACACTCTGAAATATTTGCATTGGAGCTTTCAGTGTGAATGCCAAGAAATACACCATGCTCTTTTTCTCACAAATGATGCTCAACTAACCTTACTATACTGTGCAGTTGACAAAATCAAAAATAATCAATGCGCATAAACAAAATTAATAATATAAAATGGCAACAATTTACTCATCGCACCGTGTATATCAATGCCCAGTGTATTTATAATTAATAATAATAAAAAAACACCAGAGATGGCTTACCGGTGTGAAAAAAAGTGTGTATGATATCATGGGAAACAATGGAAACATGGTGAAGGAGCTTACTGATGTGAAAAGGTATGAACCTGGCAGTTGTGGTCAGTTACTGCCCAGTTGAAATTTGATTTAAAATATAATGAAGCTCTGTCATTTAACATGGCATAGAGCACTTTTTTTCCAGTGTCCAACTGTAGCAGACTTTTTTGGGAGCTGCTTATTTTTATTACACACACACACACACACACACACACACACATACATATATAGGATATATCAAAAATACTTTTACAAACTTTGGGGGCAGCTTCCTCACACCAAAACAAGGACAAAAGTTCATATAAATATATGTCCATAAATCCTTCATGTACATTTGTGGCTAGTCTGTATTCAATGTTTATTGTGTGTAGTAGTGAGTTAACTGAGAAGTTTTCCATTTAACAGTGGCAGGATATTCATATCATGAGCAGGTAGATATAATTTTTATCTGTGGCCGCATGAATGGTAATGGACTCAAGGCTGCACGGCTGTATCAGATTGTGTTTTCAAACCAAAGGCAGCTGAGTCATCAAATCTTTGCTGCTGTTTATTGTCACATTGCTAAGACAGGATCTATGTCACTACAATCTATGGATTGAGGAAGACCAAGATCTGCTCATACACCTGACTATGAAGAACACTTTGTACAGGTTATTGGAGATGATCCAGGTATTAACACACATCAAGTGACCCTAGCATGTTGGACATCTCATAGTACCACATGGAGGGTACTTCAAGAGCAGCTCCTGTATCCATAACATTTACAACATGTGCAAGGTCTTTCACCTTCTGATCATTCACCACAGGAGAACTTTTGCTAATGGTTTATTGCTCAAACTGCCAATCCATTCTTTGTCTCTTCAGTCTTGGGTACAGAGGAGGCAACATTTGAGAGAGATGGAATAAAATTTTACACAACCAACATTTGAGAGAGATGGAATAAAATTTTACACAACCAACATTTGTGGGTGGATCAAAATGCTAAATATTTATTTTCAAAGGACTCAGAAACCGTTTTTTGTCATTTGATGATTGACTGTTTTGGTGTTTATTTCTGTCTTTGCCCCACATATAAAGTGAATTAATGTTGGTGTCATTGATTTTTTTATGTAATTTTTATTTATTTATTTATATTTATGTATTTATTTATATTTATGTATATATTTTTATTATATTTTATTATTTATCCAGTTTTAAAGGTACAATACAGGCAAGATATCAGCATCAGTTTACGACTAATATGTGGGCTGTAATTTTTCTCTCAACATGTCTTACAAAAACTTTCAACAGATACTTTATTTAAAATCTGTGGGTCCACCTAAAACAATTGCTTTATACAGCAGTCATTAATAATACAGATGTGCTTCATTAACATGTCATGGGGGCCTGTGAAAGCATTCAATACTGTGGAAGTATTTGAAAGGGTCCACCAGTCAATGATGGTGTATGCGCATATAGAAACAAGCAGAGGACATTTTAAACATTTGTGTTGAGGTACAATGATGGTCTTTTGGACATATATTTACATGGACATTTTATCTTGTTTTGGTGTTGGGAACTTGCCTCTCCAAAGTTCGTAAAATTATTTTTGATACACCATATATATATATATATATATATATATATATATATATATATGTATGTATATATGAAGACGTATGGTGGAGTAGTGGATAGCAGCTTGAATTAAGGAATCGGGGAGCCAATTTTGAATTCCATTTGTATCCATGACATTCATTTACATGCTAATACCCTTGGGAAAAGTATTAATCCTCTTCTCCTTCCAACTATGGGTAAATAGCAGGACAGACAGTTCTATAGCCTTGTATGGCAACTGGTCTAGGAGAAGGATAATTCTGAATTCAAAACCTGTAGAGGGTCATTTGGGGACCTTGTGGCATGTAGTGAACCAGGTTTCTGTATTTGGCCCTTCAAAAAGTGTGGTTAGTTCAACAAAAAGCCTTCACCACTATAATCAAATTATATGTGCTAGTGTCTGGCTGTCAGTTTCTAGGAACTGAGCTGCTTGACCTTCATACATCAAATACAATATATATATATATATATATATATATATATATATTGTTATTATTTTATGCCTGTATAGACTTACAAGCACATATGCATTCACACACACACTTACACATACACTGTCATAAACATATATACATTTTAGTTATTATTTTATCATTGTATACACCCACAAGCACATATCCATTCACACACACATACCCACACAGATATTTAAAAGGACCTTTCTACATATTATTTACAATTCATTTATCTAAGGTCTTTTTTTACATATTCAAGTAACCTTGAAATACCAGCAGTATCTATTTTTAAATTATGATAACATTTTAAAAAACATTTTTTTTAAACCTTTAGTAAGAATGTTATAAATAGGTGTTTACATTTTCATACATTGTATATCTAGAGTATTTATCAAAATAAAATGGCTTATATCTTTACTACTTCTAATGGCTAAAGAATGTATTAACTATAAACTTACTCGTGATTTAAATGCAGCAATTGGATCCATGGTTTGAGTTTCAGGAATATAAATCCGATATGAACTGTTGTCTTTAGTTGATTTTTTGTTTTTAAAAACTCTGTGTTTTTTGAAGAAAGAACTGATCAGAAACAAACTGAAGAGCAGAATAAGAAAGAGAAAATACTTCTTTCTTCGGAATGCTTTTAAATACAGAATTTTCATCTTCCAATGTGAGCCTGAAAAATAAAATGAATTTTGTTTTGGAATTCAATATAAAGACAGAAAAATCAAGAAACAATTACAACCATACACATAAAAAAAAAGTGATTTTTATTTTTTAGATTCTAACTCTGATATAAGCGTACTTTTTGTAGTTTTCAAAGCTTCTGACAAGAAATTAAGATCCTTCTTACAATACATATAAAATGTATATCCATATATATATATATATATATATATATATATATATATATACAGTTGTGGACAAAATTATTCACATAATTCCATAATTCCAGATAATACCTCAAAACATCATGTGCGTTTATTTACAAATGATAAAATAATGGATTTGAAAGAACATACAGAAATACCCATAACAAAATTTTTATTTTAATGTCAAACAATAATACAAAAATCATTTAACATAGAACAAAATTATTGGCCCTCTTGCCTCAATAATAATTTTTATTCTTGATTATTGCTTTTAATCATTTTTGATAGTTCCTTACAAGATCACAACACACACTGATTGGTGTTTTTCTCTATTCCTCCTTGGCAATAGTTTCTAGTTCCTCCAAATTCAAAGGATTTGTTTCTCTTACTTTTTCTTAAAATATGTCCAATACCTTAATTTTGCTGTCATCACAGTATTTTGTAACAATTTGTGTCGTGTGTTTTGGATCATTGTCATGTTGGAATGTCCAGTGATGCCCAAAAGACAGCTTTCATTCCCTTTGCTCCATATTATTTTTAAGAATAGCCAAATACTACTCTTTAGTCTTAATAGTTCTCTTGGTCCAGAAGCAGAAAAACATCCTCAGAGCAGAATGTTCCCACCACCATGTTTAATTGTAGGAATGGTATTTTTGGTTTGTGAGCTTTGTTCACTTTCCTCCATACATAACGGGAGTTTATGTGAAAACATAATTCCAGTTTGGTTTCATCTGACCATAAAATAGAGATCCAATATTTAATCCCATATTCTAGATGGCTTCTAGCATAAGCTAAATCTGCATTTTAGGTATTTAGCCTTAAACAATGCCATTGTCATTAAATGAGAATTCTTCAAGACATCTCTAATGATTCTCCTTTCCATTCTCTCAGAAATTAGCCATTTTCTACCAATCCCTAATTTATTACCAAATCTAGAAGGTAACAGTGAGTAACATACTCAATGAGCTTTGTAAATGGATGACAGAACATGGAATGGGAAAGATAGTAAAACACATTACTTAATGCTACAAAGGACAGAAAGTTATGGAGAGTCATAATCATCAATATCTCTTCAGGACATGGCACATAGAAGAAGAAAATATTTAAAGCACTGAAATAAACCACGAAAACAGGGTTTGTTAAAAGACTTGTAGGAATGCTGGTTGATGTTTAGATTAGAAAATAAGTGTTTTCCTGGTATGTATTTCTTCCACAACAATATTGCAGAGACTCGAATGTGAGTCTGGGTAATAAATTAATAAAGTAACAACAAAACTGCTAGTAGGTATATATATATATATATATATATATATATATATATATATATATATATATATATATATGTTTTGATGAACTCAGTACACACCAGACAGATGACTGATATCTTCATCAGCTGAAATAGGCTATTCTCCATATGTGGTAATTTTAGATTTTATTGTTTATTTATTATATTGCTCTGTATTAATAAATATATTGAGCTCTTTTTATGGATCAGTTTTAATATTTTATATTACTTGGATCCACTTGGATTATATACCGATTTTTTATCTTTACTATATACATATATACATACATACATATATTATACTTTGACATGAAAACAATAGACAAAACTAAAAATCCTTGAAGCATTATACATCAAACAGTTGAAACCCAACCTAAACAAAATCAATTATGGCATCTCTACAAATATTCTTAAATGTCTATAATTGGTAACAGAAGCCATTGGTTTATACCAACAGCTTTCCATACTTCATACTTCTCCAATTCACTCTCATTTGGTCATGTGCAATGTCATGAGATGCGGTGCGATTTTCGCTTCTAGTGTCTTATTTGCACATATTTATCGTTGCTTAGAAATCATCTATGTAAACAATGACAGACTATCATCACTGTCTTGTCCGTATATTGCTTAACATTTTGTAATTGACATCTTTGATAATGGCTTATGTAAGCCAAAAGCTTAGATTGTATTAAAAGAATATGGATCAATATTGTGAAATTCTTTCTTCGTTCAACAATAATGTTATTAAACTTATCAGACGTTACGAAAAAATTTACATAAAATAAATAGACAACACTTGTCTATATTATTTAATGAAATGTATATAGATATATATGTATATATATGTATGTATGTATGTGTATTAACAAAAGGTATACATAGACAATAACAGAAGATTGTTGTATGTGACAAAACAATGAATATCAAAAAAGAAAATATTAGAACTAAGGAATGTGTTTGTGTATTTGTGTGTGTGTGTGTGTGTGAAGTTTGGTGTAGGAGGAGTCCTAGAGAAAAGTAAATGAAAGTGAAGTGAAAGGTGCATGCGTGCATGCATGCATCTTTGTATGTATGCGTGCCCTGGTGGCGATGTTTTTCTTTCTGTGTGACCTACGTCTTACCCTGTAAGAGAAAAATAAAAATGCGGGGATGACAGAGAATGTCAATGTCTATTTAAGGAAACACACGGATATAGTTGTAGACATCTGTAGCAAATGAGAGTTGAGTTGATAATGGTCAGCAGTCTGGTATATTTGTGTTTGTTTTAAAATTTGTTTTTAGTTGACTGTGGCTTGTATTTGACTTAGGTAGATGGAAATTGATGTCTAGTTAGAGATGTATGTTTTCTAATAATCATATAAATTTGGCTTCAATTTGTTATCTCTAACTATGAGTAAATTGTGTTTTTCTGCTACAGACTAAATCATTTTAACCACAATTACGGAATTTAATTTTTTATTTATGTAAAAAAATATTTTACCAAAAGTAAATATACAATAGACAAAGTTTCAGATTTGTTGCCAGGAGAGATAACTGCTTATCAACATTAAAATGTCAAAGTAGTTGTGTAAATATTTCACACTTTTCCATATTTAAACTATTTACATTCAAAATAATGTCCCCATATTTGTTGTTATTATCAGAAATTCAGACAGCAGTGACACTTATCAGGTATGAAATAACATTTGCATTTAATATGATTTTTTTTTACAATGATTAGAGGATATTGTTTAGTTTCTGAAAATAGATTTAATAACCAAAAAGCTGAAATTCTTTCAATAAAATACCAAATTGGGTAAAAAAGAAATAATCTGTGTGGGATAAAATGAACTTTTTAAGAATATATATTAATATATACTTTTAAAATGTCCATATTTAAAGCCATAAAAAAGAAATACTTGATTAAAATATTTGATTTTTCTTCCCTCAGAAAAGGAAAAAAGATACTAATTATATTTTTGATGAATACAATTCATTCAATACTTTTCAAGATACGTTGTTTTATTGTGTTTATGTTAATTTTCTTATATTTATTTTCTTACATTTATTATTAATGAATTAAAAAATAAAAGTGAATTCATATTATATGTCATCATTACTTCAATGAATGATTATTTGTAAATTCTCTTACTGAAATTAATAGAAAAACAAAATTACAAATCTTTTCAAAACTGATCAAGATCACATTTCCGTGTAAATAAGATAGTTATGAAAGTGATTTATGTAGGAGTTTTATTTTTGTGGGGATTTATTGGAAAAAAAATAGAAACCGATAAGACAGTTGAAATCTAAAGCACTGTAACATTGTAATTAAAAATAACATTATGCTTACCTTCTCAGGAAACTTTCCAGGTAATCAAGGTTATTTTGTAGCTTCTCCTGTTGGCTAGTTTACATTCACAATGAATCTTGATTATGGTTAATGGAAAGGCTGGTGTGTGATTTTATCAAGTGTACATTGATTTAACACATCTGTTGCATGACATTTCCATTAGTGGACATTGGCTTTGCTTATTACATTAACATATGTTTTATTTTGTTAACTTTTAAATGCACATCAAACATATTTCAAGATCTTCCTTCCAATGTGTGCAATGTGAAAGCATGTGTCTACATATGAATAAACACACACAAAAGTGTGGAGAATTCCTGAAATGTAGTAACACTATCTTCTCTAAAGGTAGGAACATTGAAGTTGCAAGATATTCATCTTTAAAACTAAATATCCATGACATTTTCAGGACTTGTTTTATTACAGTCAATTGTAACTTTATTTACAGCTATATCAAATTGAAACACAGGTTGGTACTTGTAATGGATGACCATTTGGGAATACCAGGTACTGCAATCTGTGTGACAGGCCTAGCAAGCTGACAATAGATACAATCTTGCTACTTATCCTAACAGAAGACTTTGATATATGGAGGTGCTTCTTGACTCACAGGTTACAAGACCTACCTTGAGTTGGGTGTGTGGTGGTATGACTTATAATCTTTTAACTACTGTACTTTTTTTTCTTCAATGTTGTAAAATAACCACAATGACAATGGTAGTAGTAATTCTGAATTACTTTATTCTCATACCATCAAGATACAAATACTAAAATACAACTGTGCTCTGATCACTCAGCTGTTTATATAACACCAGAGGAGGTAACTTATGTCTTCCAGTGTCTGCCTGTGAAGTCCCCCACTATCCAATGAAACCTACTTATACTCTACAAATGTATTCATATATACTATGAAATATATATACCTATGTTTTTATATCTATAGTCGATAGGCTTTCACTCTATAATTTCATGTACACTGTTATACTCTGCTTCAAATTACAGCCACTTTCTGATTTACTCCACACTAAAACCTGTCAGTCAGATGTGAACACCACAAAATTAAAAATAAAATATTGTTCTCTGCAAGGTGGCTCTGAGCACTGCGTTTGACTCACAAAATCCCCTCAAAAATATAAGATAAGATTTAAACATTGCAGCCAATCACAAACATTGCTGTGAAAGCAAGAGCATGAAAAAAAAAATGCTGAGTCATGTATCTACCCTCACTGCTTAAAAGGAAAACACTTAGAGTAGTAGGTAGGCAGTTGCAGAATTCACTAGTGGTCGCCTGGTCAAGCAACCCAATACAAGCTTCAATGCTAGGCCCATAAGCAATCAAACTCTTGCATCTTCAAGGTTGATTGCTCACAAATCTTGATTCCCTTGATCCATTATACTGGCCATACAGATAAGTTTTATTTTAATATATCTTGTTTCCTTTTCTTTCTGACTCACTGGCAATACTTTGTTGTTTTCATTTATTAGTTTTGCAACATATGCAACCAGTATATAACAACTTATATATAGGACTGATGTAATGGAATAACCTGTCACCCTCATGAGTGACTACACTATAGGTAGTAACAGCCTATAAGTATCTGTAAGTCAACAGACTATGGAGACTAGATGGGATCTGTTGAGTATGACTCAGACTTATGTGAGAACTACCGACTTTCAAATAGTAGCACTCACTATTGGATTCACTTGTGATAACCTTGTGCATAACTGTTACCTTTATTCTTATTGTACTGGTTTTTACAATAAACCTTTACTTATTCTATCCACCCTGTTTGTCAAGTATATTAGCACAGAATATAAGAAGGACTGTACACAAAAGAGGAAGAAAAGGAATTTCTAAAGCAAAACTGATAAAGAAGATAATTATATTTGAGATCTGAGCATGAGCTCTCATAATGTTGACCTCTCATTGGTCAATTCAAAATTCATACTTTGAAATTGGGTTAAAATGCAGTTCTATTTTTAACCATGGTATCTTGTTTAGTTTGTTTTGGTTTGTTTGTTTAATGGTATATCAATATCTTATGGATCATTTAATGCTGAAATTTTATTTTCTTGTGAGCTTTAGTAATTTTTTTTTCCAAAATGTATTGCCTGTAATTTTTGAAAATTATAAGTTCCTTTAAAATTGATAAAAGTGCTAAGATCAATGCAGAAAATTATTGTAAGTTCTTGAACACAATGTTTTTGTATGAATGTTACCAACCAAGAAGCATTAAGCTAAAATGTATATTCATTTAAGATATTCTTCTTGTATATTCTACAAAGCTGACTATTACCCATGTTGTAAAGTGTCCTGGGTATGACAATAAACTACATCTGCATCCTGGGTAAGATGATAAACTACATCTGACAGCCAGGCCTCTGATCAGGAGGTTTTGAGGAGTGTGAAACCACCTCTTAACTGCTGATCTTCCCAGGTCCACCCTGACTCAGGGTGGTAGCACCTGTTAGGGTCCCAACTATGGGCAAATAGTTAACCCCCAAACTGGGGTCAAAACACTATGAAAGTGTAAAAATAGGTTTTAATACCAGCAATAAATTCTTTGAGGAAAAATTATTATCAGCAATACATTATTACTAGCAATACATTTTTGAAAGAAAAATATTACCAGCAATACATTTCTGAGGAAAAAATATGAGCAGCAATGCATTTTTGAAGAAAAAAGTATTACCAGCAATACATTTTTGGAAAAATATTACCAGTAAAAAAATCTTGTCAGCATTAGATAACCCATTGAGGTTGATAAAACAAACCAAACTAAACCAATCCAAACCATGTTGTAAAGACATTAAATTAGAAAATGGCCTCCACCACCCTCACCAGAAATTATTAATTCAATAAAAATATTCTTGTCCATCATTAAAAGAGATGTACAAGAGAATGGAAAACAGTATTCTAGCAAATAAGATCCATGGGAAGAAATCAAAATTGCTGAAAGTATTGTTAAAGTTAAAAAAGTAGAAAAGTTAACAAAATCAATAAGTAAAAGGTTGATGAAGGTTATAGAAAGACAATGAGCCCATGTCATTTTGTGAAATCCATCAGTTTGGTACTTTGGCACATATAATCAGTAATGTTTTTAGCCACAGATCATTAGGGATTTCCAGTTTTACAAAATCATACCCTTTCTCCATGATGAACCAGTCGATACTGATTGGATATTGATTTGTGTGACATCTGTCAGTTGCCACTATTTTCATAGTGTAAGGCTCATTTAACCCACTGGACTCCTCAGGTCTTTATATTCCAATCAGGTGAAACTGTAAAATAATAATTTATTCAGGTATATAGGTAGTAATCAAATATATATTCTTATAGCTTATATCTTTTGAATTTATTTATAAATGAAAATTGGCAACGTTTAATCTTTGTGCCCATAATAAAATGGTGTGTCAAAAGGACATTTTTTTTTCCATTGACACTGCTATTATTTTGTATTATTTTCACTCATTTGGTAACGTTTATTATTTTAAAAAGCAATGATTAGAATCTTATTAAAACCTAAACATATGAAAGTGGATTTATAAATTTTCTTTGTTCTTTGAGAATTTATAACAAAAATATTAAACATTATTTATCAGATTGTTTATTTACAAGAATAATTTTATATTTACAACATTCTAACAGTGCAAACCAACTAATGTGATGTAAAATTTATCATTCATCAATTTTATAAAGAAATAAATATGAAAACAATTTTTTTATTCATGAATTTATAAAAATTTACTAAATCATAAAAATATGTGAACCAACTAAAATGAAATTTTTATTAATTACCATTTCATAAAATTTGAATTGATTAGCAATTAGCCAATACTTTGCCAATCATTCCAAAGAACACAATTCACTGAAAATTTTGTAGGTTTTTATAAATTTTTGAATAAAAACATTTCTTTTCAAATTTATCTCTTTAAAAAATGATAAATAATAAATCTTTAAATTACGTTGTACTTGGTACTCATATTTTTATAATCTTGTAAATAAACATTTCTGAGGGAGTCTCAGTAGTTTAAAGTAATAGCAATGTCCACAGTAAAACTGTATTTTTCACAAAGCATTTTTTTGCAGACATAAGGGTTAAACATTGCCGTAAAATTTATGTTGTACTACTTATAATAAAACCTGACTGCACAAAAGAAGTTATTATAATATTTTTAATAACAATGGATACTGTAAACTGAAACTCACACAATATATTGGTCACATAAATGTAGGTATATGCTGAAAACTTTAGCAATATCAGTTAATACTAATTTTATTGTGAAATCATTGATTTGCATAAAGATCAGGCTGAAAATGGAGCATTGTTGTTATATTTGGGCAGGAGCTGTCCAGTCCTCATTTTCCAGTCTTGAAAGAGTTCAAAATCGTCTCCAAGTCCTTGTGGGTAACAAATTATTTTCCATCCTCTAACCTCTCTCGCGGGCAGCTAGCCTCCCACTGCTCTAATGCTTCTTCCTAAAAAAAGTGCTTGGATGAACATCATACCTTAGCTCTGCCAGTTCTAACCTTCACATCTAGGACCTGCCATGTCACTTAGATTGTAGCAAACCACCCACATTCTCTTCCTAGCCAATTAGTGAGAAGTAAGTTCCACTCAAACAGGTTCTTTCTGCAAATTACTGCTCTGTGGATCCAGACTCCTAAGTGGATGTTTCCCCAATCACTACAATCTTAACCTGTTCAAGTCTAGAATTAAATGTTATTTTCTCTTCCTATCCATATAAACTACTACATAACATAACCCTCTACCTTGAGTGGCCCCCAGGAAAGGCTAAGTGTCACATAGCTTGGTTAGAAAGACGAGTGAATGAGTAAGGGAATCTCTTTTAAGCCATGTCATGAACAGTTGCCGTCTGTTACCATTCCTTACTGGTTTTATCCATCTAGAGACTTTACATAAATACTCTTCAAAGGGATCATGAAGCATGTTTTTATTGTCAGCAGGAACATGATCCATTGGTTGCAAAATGCTATATATTTATTTTCAAAGGACTCAGAAACCATTTTTTGTCATTTGATGATTGACTTTCTTGGTGTTTATTTCCGTCTTTGCCCCACATATTAAGTGAAAGTGAATTAATGTTGGTGTTATTGATTTTTTATGTAACTTTTATGTATTTATTTATATTTATGTATTTATTTATATTTATGTACATATTTTTGTTATATTTTATTATTTATCCAGTTTTAAAGGTCATGAGTTAACCATTTTCTTTTAATTTTAAACATTTTCATGATTTGGCCAGTTTAGATATAAAATCTTTCTATACAAATGTAGCATTGCCTTTGTCAGCTGTAAGTAAAATGATATTTAGTAACACTCTGTAGTGGGG